TAGGTACTGATTTCATTAATTACTACAACTACTGTAATGCTTCAAGAAATATATTGGTGAAACTACCTCAAACTGCTTGTTTCAGATCTTTTAGTTGAGAAAGTGGTTTTGCAACTCTGGGATCTCACATGCGGTCCTTTGTTTTGCACTACCTCGACAATTTGGCGGAACACTTGGGACAGGACTTCTTTCCAGAGTCTCCCAGACCTTTTTCCCACCGACGCCAAACATCTGAAGCGTCTCCTCCCCTCCCTGACCCAAGTAGGTTTGTCTGAAAACTGGGTAATTATTGCAAAATGTTTATGGTTGATCATGCTTCTCCCTTTAAAGTAGCCATAAATGTTGATCATTTGCTCCCCCATTTTTCGGCAAAACCAACTAATCCAATGATCCTTTTCTGTGCCCCCACACCGCTTTTGTTCGTCCCCAGGTCTCGTGTAATCTGATGGGAAGTCGCCAAAGGGCGATTCTTGGCCCTTCGGCAGCCTGCCATCCATTTTTGGGGTTTGGTGGGGATTTCACGCGTAGCTGGTTGTCTCTACCGCTGTCACACAGCACTAAAGTCAAAGGCGGAGAAAAAAAAAATGTTTGGGGTGGCCTTGGACCCTGTTGCCTCTGAACTTACCAGCTATGGGGCCTGAGGTTAGGTGAAAACCTATGAAAAGAAAACCTACCTGTTTTTCAGACGCGCTTTAAGGGATAGACTCTGCTTGCGAGGAAGGGAAACTGGTGGTTGGAGAAACCGAAATCCTTGATCATTCTTGATCATCCTTGTGGATACCAATGGCAAGTGCCATACCCAGATCAAAGATGCACCTGCCAATGAGTTTGTCCATCTTTTTTCGTCCAGGCTCCAACATCCTCCGGAATTCATCCTCATGGACCTCAGGGATGTTTCGCGGCCTGACCATGATCCTAATGATCCTATTCTCCAGGTCAGGCTGCCCTTGAGTCCTGGACTAGCTGCGCGGCAGCAGAGATCTTGCTGAGATATGACATGACTGGCCTGAGTATGGTGCAGGGTGCCAGGGGGTGCTGCCTTGACCCCAATCACGACACAAACCAATAAGTGCGGCTAGGGCACCAAAAAATATGGCAGGGCCAGCTGGTATCTAGTGAAGCCTTGTCCCGCAAAATAAATTGACAAGACTTTGACACATCTCTGATATGGCGACCTCGGCTTGACTGTTGTTACTGTTTGGCATGCTTCCTTCTATATTTGTATCTCACCTTCTGGCCCCCCTGTGCTAGCGCCCAACCTCCTTGCGGGAACTCTTGAGCCAGGCAGTTCCAACAAGCAGGTATCACATGGTATCACTGTATCACCCATCAGAGATGCATCGAAATAGCCGTCTGACACGACATGCAGCTATCATCTGCACCTCTTTTGACTCCCGTCTTTGTCTTCGCTCAGAAATCATGCTTGGCATGGAGCGGCTGGAGATTTCAGTTGCTGCTGCAGAAGCTGGGTCTCAATTCATCTGCGATACGTGGGATCATTCTGCAGGAATCAGGAACCTTACAAAAATGATGATTCCGAACTGAAGATACATATATATATATATCTGCATCTTGCCACATAGTTATATCTCATCTCAAAATTTGGGGTGTCTCAAGATTGGTCACAAAAAAATGTCACTGGCACGGGTTGAACTTCTGCACTGCGAGTTGCCGCGGAAGCCCAGACTCGTTGGTGTGGGCACGGCAGGTCCCGAAACTCGGGTGCTCAGCAATGCGGGGCACGAGACGGAGACCCCAGAGGAACCCACCCGTGGGAAGCCCACGTTGTGCTACGATGTACTGTTGGGACCGCTGGGATTGGGAAGAAAAACTCATCAGATCTCAGTTTTTCATGACTAAACCTTAGGACCTTGCCGGGACAAAGATTGAAGAAAATGAGAATCAATGGGATCAGACTCTGCTAACTCTGCTAGGAGCGAACCGTTTCCAGCAGATCAGCAAGCTACGCTGCTAAACGTCCAAACACAATATCAACTAAACTGATGGTTTATCATGGTTTATCGTGGTTTATCATGGTTTATCATGGTTTATCATGGTTTATCATCATCCGATTTCAATGGCCATTTTGGAGGTAATGTTACCTTGTCACATTGCAAAACATGTAGTTCCTCTGGTGGTTCACCTGCAACAAAGCACCCAAAGCACCCGATGCGTTGCGTGGCACTGACTGTTTCTCCCTGAGACACGGGTCTTGATCACATCGAGGCCTTTGAGGGTCTAGAATTGCTGCTGGTTTCTAAGACAAGTACACTAAACACCCAACACTTCGCACAGGCACCAATTCAATGCCACGTTGAAAACAATTAAAAACGCAAAAACGCTGATGCCATTGGCGTAGCGCCAATGCCGGCTTTTCTTCTCGGCTGTCAGACTAAGTGTCCTTCAAGAGCTGCAGGAAATGCTAGAAGTTTTATCAAACTTATCCAGTCCACACTTCTCTATAGATTAGACATTGAGGTGAACAGATTCTCAAAGTCAGAAAAGAATGGTGATTGCACTGCCGAGACATAATCCCTCGCCAGCCCCTCTGTGCTGCTTGTCATCACACAGAAGGATGCAAGCCGACGAGGAACGAGGCACCATCATGTGGTCGTCGCCGAGTATCACACGTTGTGAAGGATCCCAAACCAAAAGATATGGACACCCTTGAAACCCAATGGTCCACCATCTTCTGGGTTGAATGTGTTTCATTTTGGCAGTAGGATGGGGCCCACCTAGTTATTGTTTCTACTAGGAAGTCGTTCAAACGTCTTGAGTGAAAATCGGAAACGTCGCGATCTCTCGCATAGTTCGATGAAAGGACACAGGGTGTGACCTCCGGCACACTACATTCTCAGATGCGCTGGAACTGTCATGGGCAAGCTATGTTTAATTCCAATCTATATCAGAACATCACGGTACTTCACGTATGGACCCTTGAAACACACTTGCATTGACGTCTTCTCCATGATTAGCGGCCGACACCACATGAGCTCATCGCCAGGCGGTTGGCTCATCTGGGAGATATCAAAAATGCATCTTTGACGCAACCGATCTCCGCTGGCTGCGAGATAAAGATTCTCGGCTCGTCGTGGACGGCTGAGTCCACACTGGTTCGGCAAAAAGAGCGGTTTTCATTGTACTGTGGTGGTTGTCTGTCTGGAGATTTCAGGTTTTGACTGGTCTTGAATCATGGTAAGATCTGAAAGTCTAAGATGTAGCAGCGGACAAATATGTAAAACTCAAAACAGCGACTGTGTGTTCATGGTTCATACAGGAAAGCTTTGCTCAGCCGCTGCTCTTGCTATCCCAAGCACGCAGGAAGAATCCCGGCTTCAACTTGGGGGGCTCCTGGCCATGTCTCTGGCGAAGCCAGTTCCCATTGCCTGTTGCCAAACCCAGCAGCCACGTACGGGGTTTTTAAAAAATAAGACCCGTTTATCCACAGCATTTTGAGTTAAACACATGTATGTGTATATATATGTATACATACATATATACATATATATATATACATATATATATATACATATATACATATATATGTATATACATATATATATACATATATACATATATATACATATATATATATGTATGTACATACATACATACATACATACATACATAACGTACATAACGTACATAACGTACATAACGTACATAACGTACATAACGTACATAACGTACATAACGTACATTACCTACATTACCTACATTACCTACATTACATACATTACATACATTACATACATTACATACATTACATACATTACATACATTACATACATTACATACATTACATACCTTACATACATTACATACATTACATACATTACATACATTACATACATTACATCTTACATACATTACATACATTACATACATTACATACATTACATACATTACATACATTACATACATTACATACATTACATACATTACATACATTACATGCATTACATGCATTACATGTATTGCATACATTACATACATTACAATCATTACATACATTACATACATTACATTACATTACATATAATACATACATTACATACATTACATACATTACAGACATTACATACATTACATACATTACATACATTACATACATTACACACCTTACACACCTTACACACATTACACACATTACACACATTACACACATTACACACATTA